CGTCGTGCACGTTGCCCTTGCCAGCAGCATCGATCTGCCATCCAGGCTCACCGTCGAATAAAACGCCACCGCGTAGTCCTCCGTCGACAAGAATTCGCTCCGCACAAGCGCCACTGCGGAGCCCGACACGCTCACAGCCCCACGCACTGACACCGCGTGCTTGCACAGCAGGAAGTCGCTGTCAACAAACGCCACAACGGAGCCGCCACTGGCCGCAACACCGCCCTCCACCGACACGCACAGCCCCAGCGCCGTCTGCACCGACAGCCCGTCCACGTACAGCGCACCGCGCGACGACAGCGCCACGCCGCCAACCACCAACACGCCAACAGCGTCGCGAAACACAGCCGCCACGTGCGTGCGCGCAATGGTCAGCACGCTCCCAGTCAGATTCACGCTGTGCACCACGAGGCACGCGGAGGCGTCGCCAAGGTCGTAGGCGTCGCGGTACGCAACACGCGACTCTGCAATCAGCACAGAGTCCACCACAGTGACGCGCGAGCCCGGCGGAAATCGGTTCGCCACCAGCACGCCGCCACCGGAGCGCGACTCAAGCCCGCTGATCAACACATCGACGCGCTGGCCAGCAGGCGGGTCAGACAGCCACCCAACAACGTACAGGCTCGCTCCGTCCACAAACGTGCAGTTCGCCAGCGTCACGTTGCGCACGCTCCCTAACATCGACTCCACGTCCACCACGACGTCCGCCGCAAAGGTCACACCAAAGTAGCACGCCACCGACGTCCCGAGACCGGCGTTCACCTCCACATCCACAATCACGTCGCGCAGGCACAATTCGGTGCCGTCGGTGCTCGGTGGCTCGGGGACAGCGACGGGCAGGCACGCATCGCCGTGGCCGCCCTCAGCGCACGTGCAGGTGCAGCCATCACTCGAGGCTGTCGTCGTGTAAGCGGGGAAGCACGACGTCGCGAGGGTGCATGGGTCGCTGCAGCTCAGAATGGTGGCGTTGTACGCGGACGGGATGGCGTATTCCGCCCCCTCCTCGCCGTTCACACTGTTGCACGCAGCCACAATCGCTCCGTTTGTGATATCGCGGGACCCTTTGTATATCCGCAGAACTGTCGGCTTGTCAGTGCTGGACATAAACCGGTTGCCGGACACAGACAACGTGGAGTCGCGGAGTTTCACCGTGGGGTTCAGAAAGAGGAAGCCTTCTGATGGGGACACGCGGCAGAGGTTGCCGCTCAGCTGCAGCCAGGAGTTGTCGTAGATGTAGGAAGAGTAGCTTGGAAAGAACACAGCCGAGCTTCTCTGTATGTCGTTGCCCTGAAACACAACCGCTGATTGAGACTCCACACGTAATGCCAAAATTAGTAATAAAAAGCATTTCACCGGCCTCGTCACAAGATTGCCTCGGATCACCACAGCAGAGTTGTTCAGAACCTTCAGCGATGAGGATTGGCTAGACCCTTCAAGATGTATCAGCGTACTGTCACCGCCAGCCATATTAAACGTGTTACCCACCACCGCAAACACGGAGTGCCACGACACGCTCAGCGCAGATCCGACAACGTAAATGGCGCTTGACGATGCCGTCACGCTCTGAAACACATTGCCACTCAGCACTACCGCGGAGTCGTTGCTGATCACCAGTCCATTCATCGCAACACACGACAGCCTCCTAAGGCCCAAGCCCGAACGAGGGATCAGCCTCGTGACAGTAAAGCGGTTCCCGCTGATCGTGATGTTCGTGTGCGGTGGAAATCCTCCCTCCGGGCTGAGCAGCGCGTCACGGAACGTGTTGCCGGTGACGACGACGTTCAGCGACCTCACAGCGGCGTACGCGTTGCCCAACAGCAACAGCACGGCACCGTCCCTCCACGTGCATCCATCGAACCTGACATTCGCCACGTCACCCGTCATCGCCCCTATCAGTACCGTCAGGCTCATGCCACCCCCGCTGAACGTCACGTTGCGGTAGCACAGCCACGACAGCCCGCCGCCCACAGCCTGCGCAACCTCGGGGTGCACCATGTCGCTGATGCACCCACCAGCCGGCGGTGGCAGCGGTGTGGGTGACGGTGGTGGCGGCGGCGACGGTGGCGGGCCAGCAGGCACAGGCGCCGGGAGACACACATCGCCGTGCCCTCCAGCAGCGCACTGGCACCTGCAGCCAATGACCGCCGTCGTCAGCGGTGCAAAGCAGTCGCCCTCCTTCATGCACTGCCCGCACGCAGCAACCGTCGTCACGCCTATGATGCCGTTCAGCTCCAGTTCAGCCGCCGTCGTCACCTCCCGTCCCGCGACCGTCAGACACCCAGCAACGAAACGGTAGCCGGCCTCAGCCCGCTTCAGCAAGGATACCGACAGCCCCGTCGAGCCCATCTTGCAGCCCGTCAGCGTCACCACACTGCTGCTGTCAATGCTCACAAAAGCGGACTCAGTGTTGTAGAACATCGAGCCCACTTCCACGTTGTTGCCGCGCCAATCCAACCAGCTTGACAGCTGAACAGTCCACAAGACATCGTTATAGATGGCGTAGCCCACGGAGCCGCTGTTCCCCACCACGCGCAACACGCTGTGATCCGACACGCTGAATCCTTGGTCCTGAAACAGCAGACTTACCCCGGAGAACATCGTATTGTTGAGCAGTGCAAAAACAGAGTGGTCACTCACACTGAGACTGTGCACGTAGAACATGTGTGCGTATCCATCGAGGCTGCAGTACCGCGCGTGAAGCGAGCTGCCACCCACCAGCTTCAGCGCCCCGATCGAGTACAAACCAGGCGCATCACGATTCGTTGCGTGCGCCTTGACGTTGCTGAACAGCAGCGTAGACGCACTCAACACGACGTCGTCCAGCAACAATACGCTCCGCATGTTGTTCACAGTGCCCGGTAATTCAACCGCGAAGGTCTGCACCGCATCAACCTCCGTGACGGCGATCTCGCAGTGCTGCGGGAGGGCACGTAAAAAAGCAACGGCGGAGGACTGCATCACCGTCCGGCTCACGCGGATCAGGACGCCGGCTGACTCGGCCGCCTCAGCACCCCCAAAAAACTGCAGCGCGGCACCCTCACGGAAAGTGCACCCAATGAACGTGATGTTGATGGGGAGATGCAGTGGCATGCTGTTGAGGAAGAACGTCAACACGGCACCCACGCCGCTGAATGTCACTCCCACATAGCAGTGGTGCGTCTTCCACATTTTCAGCGCGAGGCTCGTCAGCGTCTGGTCCACCACACAGCTCGTGTCGCCGTCAACGGCTCTCTCCGCTAAGGGCGGCACAACCGTGTTGGGCACCTCGAAGGGAAGACACGACGCGCCATGCCATCCGTCCTTGCAGCTGCACGAGCACGAGCCGCGGTCCACCGACTCCGTCCCGGGCATGTAGCACGCCGCGTCGTCGTTACATGTGCCACACCTGAACACCATCACCTCCTCCGGAAACACATAGTCGTAGGACACCTCCCCGTTGCCCTGCAGGTTGCACTCCACCACAAACCGTGCGGTTAACGCAACAATCGTGTTCGAGTTAAAAAGCTTGGCGAAGAGTGCGCTTCCTTCCACCTGGCGGTTGTGTGCAAGCGCCACGGTGGTGCCGCTGCCCGACAGCTGAAGTTTTTGCCAGGAATACTGAATAGTTAATACTGAGGCTGCACCCACGCTGTTTCCCTCAACACGCCACTGCGCACCACCCTCAATTGTCACAGAGCCAGACAAATACACCAGCGCGGAATCAAAAATTTCCGTCCCACCAACGAAGGTGCAGTCCGCCACTCGCAGCAGCCCCGCGGACCTCACGGTGGTAACCCCAAAAAGAACAACGCCATTGACCGAGCTCATCGTGTTGTTCTCTATGTCAAAGTAGCCGCCGTTCCTCACATCAACAGCGTAAACGCAAACAGATGATTCCACACCGTCATCGACCTCCGTTGCCCTCAACTTATTTCCCTTCACAATGATCCCACCACCACCAACAGCACCACTGGAGAAATAGACTGCGTACCTACTCCCCTCGATGTAGTTGTCAAGTAGCAGCAGCGTCATATTCGCACTGAGAGTAAACTTCACAAATAAAATGGCGTGGTCCGATGTCGTCACAATCGTACTGCCCGCCACCAGTATCTGGGAGCTCACGCCAAAAACACCCCTGAACTCCAGCTCACCAGAATCCAGCATCGAAGATGTCACGCTCACGTGCACGCGCGCACCACTCCCCCTGACCGACAGACCCATGAGGACGCACTGCAGCAGCGTGATGTTGAGTGTCTGCTGTGGTGCGTCGAAGCTCCGCAGGTCCAGCACGATCACGGCGGTGAAGGTCACGTTGACGAAGCACAGGCCACGCACACCGGGATCAGGAACGTCCACGGGGCCGATGCTGCCACCGTGCACGCAGCGGACCTCCGTGTCCTTCGCGTCGGGGAGCGGAAGCGGCCCAAGGCAGTCCGGAACCGCAGCTGGTAGACACGTGTCGCCGTAGCCGCCAGCGGCACACACGCACTCACAGCCGCTGATGCTGCTCGTCCTCGCAGCGAAGCACACGGCCTCCACGGTGCACATGCCACAGTCCAACACTGTCACGGGTGCTCCAATATTCAGGTCTTCTCCGTAATTCGTCACAGGTGAGCCCACTGCCTCGTTGCACACGCCGTAGATGATCGGGCACGTGTCGGATGGTGGTGACCAGTTGCTGGACATGTGTGCAATGGTCGACGAGTACGAGCCATACGTGAGTTTGTTGTCAAGTATCGACCACACACTCTGATCGCGGAACGCCACACCGTTCTCCTTGTCCACGTACACAACGTGGGCGGTGCGGAACTCGTTGTCGCGGTGCACCAGCCAGCTGCCATCAGTCACAGTCAGCGTTTTTGCCATGAGCATGGCGAAGCCGAGACGGAAACTGCTGGACACAATCTGCAGCACGCTGCCGCCATCCACCGCAACATCCCTGAACACACACGCGCCCTTGTAGAAGCCAATGCTCGGTAAACTCCACGAGCTGTTCTGTATGGAGAACACAGAGCCGCCGCCAACACGCAGGTCCGACGCAAGAGCGTACATCACGTGCGTCTGCGACAGGACAGCGCAGTTGTCCATGTAGAAGACGCTGGACAGGTTCACAACGAAGCTGCGCTCCAAGAGGATCGCAGCGCACGAGCCACCTCCACACACCAGCGTCGACCGCGTCATTACAAACCGCGTCGACAGAAGGCGGACACCGTCCAGGACAAGCGCGGGGCCGTGCCGAAATCCTGCATGGCCAATGGTCGTCGGCACGTACTGCGACCCGCCAACCGTCGCGCGCAGCGTTGAGTTCGCCAGCAGCACACTCGAGTTCGGCGGCATCGCGCCATGCAGCACAATTGTGCCCTCCACCGACGTCACATTCGTCATGTTGACGAGGACGTGGGGCATCAGGCGCGCCGTGCTCTCGCTGAGGCCGCCAATCCGCAGCTGCGCACCGCCCGCAAGCACGCAGTGGCGCAGCGTCACGTTCAGTGCGTCATCGAACGCGTCCATCGAGCGCAGGTCCACCGCCACGATGATCGGTCCGCTGAACACCACCGAGTCGAAGCACGCCGTCACCCGCCCGCCGCCAACCGTCACGGACTCCGTCAGCGTCACGCCACTCACGCGGCCCTGCGCACCGCCACCACCGCCACCGAACCTCGCAGGCGGCACGTCGAACGGCAGGCACGCCTCGCCCAAGCCGCCGGCACGGCAGCCGCACACGCAGTCAAAGAACGAAGCCGTCAGCGCATCAAAGCACGCCAGCGCGGCCGCACAGCCGTCGCACGGCACCACGCTCACGGAGGGCAGGCCGGCCATGCGGTAGTCGCCGCTGCTCTGCAGCACCCGGCCGCCGGCACGGTTGCACTGCACGGTCACGGTGCCGCTCGTGATCGTCAGCCCGAAAACAAGCGTCGCGCCAGTAGCAGCGCAGCGCGCAATCGACACGGCACCGCCGCTCAGCGTCACACCCGACAGCGACGCCACCGACGACGCCTCGCCCACCGCCCACACGTCGTGCAGGTCCAGCCACCCGCCGGCACTGACCGTCCCACCGCCGCAGCGCACCAGCGAGGACGCGACAGACCCCTCGACGCCCACAAAGCGCAGCACCGAGTCAGACACCGCGAGACGCTCTCCAAGCACAAGGCCGCCGCCGCTGCTCACAACAGAGACGTTCGTCACGGAGAACACCGAGTGGCTCCGCAGACCGAGACGCGACGAGGACGTTACATTCATCGCGGACGCGGTCGGACCACCCGACGCCTCCAGCAACACGCCGTCAAGCACCACCGCGCTCGACAGCAGGTCCACGTCGCCGCCAATGTGCACCGCCGACCCGCCCGCCTGCAACGACCTCAGCACAGTGTTGCTCACACGCAGCTGCGTCTGCAACAGCGACGTCGCGTACAGCACAAGCGGTGACGCCACAGCGTCCGTCAGCCCGCCCAGCTGGGAGTAGCGCATCGGCCCCGCCGTCGCAATCGTCGAGTCACGGACCGTCACGTTCGTATGTGCCGGCAGGTTGTGCACAAACACAAGCGAGCAGTGGCCGCCGGACAGCCCGCTCACGCTCACCTCCAGGCTCCGGTCACTCGCCGGCTCGCCGCTGTAGCCCCGCACGTAGATCTGCGCACCGCCGCCGCACACGCAGTCCCTCAGTTCGATGCGCAGCGGGCCGGGAAGCATCGCCGGCACGTCGAACACCACAGCCACGCCGTTCGTGATGTGCACGCCGTCCATCAGCACCGTGTCCACGGCGTGGCCAACCGTGATGGCTCTGTCCACCGTACCGCCCCGCAGTCGCAACACCACCGCATGCACCGCAGGTATCCACGCCGCCGCCGCCGCAACCAGCGCCAACGCCACAAGCAGCGCCATACGCACAGCCGCAGCGGCCCTGTGCAGCTCGCGGTGCCGGCTGCGCGGACACGCACCCACCGCAGACCACATCCAAAGACCCAGACAGGTACCAATAGGGCTGTCGTGGTGTGTCGCACTCGCCCCGTTGACCATAACTCCAGCTTTCAAAATCCCTTCCTACAGATGGCGAATCCAATGACACGATTCCGATAGGTCGTTATACTAATACTGCTAATCCTAATACTGCAAGTAATCCCTAACACCTTGAAACGATAGTTGTGCCGGTAAAGCAAAAGTATCTCTAACTGTACGCTCAGAAAAAGAATAAAAGGCAGCAACAACAGTAACCAAACACAGTGGCACGCAGAGGCATCCCGTCATAAACAATAGCCATCACAGTACAACCGCCGACACAAAGCAGCGCTGACGCAATCAAGTCAGTGACACCATCGCCCTCCTATCACCCACACAGCCCCGTACAGCCACCGTGCCGAGTGGCGGAATCCCGGCAAAAAGCCACATGACCACTGGCACCGCTCCTATTGCCGAATGGCTGCATCACATGGCTGTCCCGATTCCGTGCACGACACAAAAGAGCCGAGGCAGACCACGTGGCAGCGCTACGACCGCCAGCCATCAAGCGCGTCCGAAGGGTGTTGGTGTTGGTGGTGCGTAAGTGGAGTGGAGAGCTCGCCGGTCGCCAGGAGTCAAGGCGTCGTTTCTCGTTTACGCAAGTCGGCATTGCACAGCAGGCAGCGGCACCAGGCGCGCACGACATACACAACAAAGGAAAATAAAGAAGCACGGCAGAACTCAAACACAGGGAAAAGGGTTCCCGCCGATTGCACATTCCGATTGGCTCACAGACATCCGGATGGTGGTCGCGCCGCTGCTCTGCGGTGCGTGTGGCGTGTGACTGCAGTGGACAGAGGGGATGATGAAAGGGGCGGAAGACGCAGTGCGGCCTCATCCATCTCGATTAACTGTGACACCGGTGACATCTTCCCGTCACATCGCCTGCAGCAAAGACCGTCGTCGTCAGCAGCGGTCGGTGCCTTCCTTCTCCCACTGGGGCGCAACTCCACCAACGCAATCGCTCGCCTCCTCCCTCACCAACACAACGAGGGAGCAACGGCAAAAGATGAGAGACGCACGGCAAGCGCGCAGTCGCAGAGCCCCACTGCTGCCGCCATGGCCAAACAAGGTCGGCTGCAGGGCGCAAAAAGAAGAATGAACACCCCATCAAACGCTTTGGCACCACGTGGAAGCACCGCAACCGACACACGAGGCGAAGCGCCGTGAAGCAGGCACCAAAACCAAAGCTCCTCCAACAAATTCATCGTGAAGCAAAAGAAAATATTATGCGAGCGCAAAAAAACAAATCCCGGTGCAGAGACAATAAATGGTTGTGGTGCGCAGCAGCCGTAGCATCGCACCCCTCCCTCATCAAACAGCACCGCACCACAACGCACCGTGACGAAAGCCTGCAATGACAAAGATTGAGTAGCACGCACAAAGCGGCATAAACCTTTCATCCCGCACTCGCGCAAATTTATGCTCTCAGTATGTACTGCCAACGCCACGGGGAAGGACACGGAAGGGGACTATCCTGTCCATCCTCCTTCTGCGCACAACTGACCCTCCCCATCCTCCTCCTCACTACGCCCCGGGTGCCGCAAAACGCCGTCAAGCATAGCCACTTGTATGGAAGCCCTCAATGCGCGGGGCAAGGCAAGAAGCCACCCACGCCCACTCCCCCGCACATATCCTTTCCCACAACCTTCCCACACACAAAAGGGCAAAGAAATGGAGAAGAAAATCCCGCCGCACAACGCGCGCAGAGGCACAGCTATCAACGCCGCACCGCAAGATAGAGCCATGCGCACAGCACACACACAGCCGTAAAAAGAGGGACGGGGCACGTCAAAGTACACGGCGCAGTCTTTCACTTCTCTCCGCCTCACAGCAGGTCGCGACGGGTGGTATCCCACATTCACAGTGGGGCACGGCGCACACCATCCGCTCCCTCCGAGTGCACCCAGCAGACCGGCGTCCAGTCACCCTCGTGCCATCGCAGAGGGGAACACAAGCAATCTTCGTCGCGGACCATCGGTGGCTCTAACAAGGAGAAAGAAGAAATGGGGGCGTGTCAGCAGCACAGCCAGCAGAGAGACAATAAAAGGGCACGGAGACACTCAGCGGCAGTGAACACAGCAAAAAAAAAAAAATGAACCGCAGCAATTTACCAAAAACAAAGGAAAAAATGGTGAGAGTCCAGAAGAACTCCCAAAAATATGAAAAAAAAAATGATTCGGAAAGACGTTTATTTCATGCGCCAAGAAGTACAATACAGTCATTTGCTTGTGTATGCATATTGCCTGCAACAATTAAAAAAGTCAAAGATAAGACTTTACTGTTCCACCAGCCCACACAACATCCTCCACATTTCATACGGCATCCGGCCTGTTCTTCAAATCCCCATTTCGTGCAGTCCATGGGACGCACAGCCGCAGGGCCGGCACCGCGTGTGGGCAACAAAAAGCAAATAAGAGGGGGAAATGCATTACTCATTACGGTGTGCATCAGACAGCCATTAAGTAAAGAATTCACTGAGGATGCACAGTGGTCCGTCGGCACTACATCCAGCACAGCTCTCCGCCCTCCATCACGCACGGTGGCAGCTCACACCCGTCCACAGAAAGGGAAAAAACAAAAGAAAAACACTGCGGCAGGGTGTGGCTGTGTGTGTGTGGCGCTGCGGGTGTCTGCCGGCCCTCGTCGCAACAAAAACAAAACAAGAGGGAAAGAAATGTGTGCTCCGCCACACCGGCCCTCGTCGCACGCCCACACGTCACGGCTCCCTCAGCGCGCCGTTCGTCGCGGCCCCTCCTCATGCGTGCAGCAGGCGAGGCGCACAGGGCCGTCGTCATGAGCGTGTCGGTGGGTGTGCGAGTGGAGCAGTTGGGCGGAACACACGGCACCC